GTGTTTAATAAATATTGTGAGGGGGAAAAATAGTAGGAAATAATAGTAATCTCTTCTGCACAATAATAATAATTGACGAATAACCCTCTCTCAGCAATCGGCTTTCCATTCTCTCGCAGTCTCGCTGTCTTATATTCTCTATCGCTATAATGGGTATAATATTATGTATAATGTATATATATATATATATATTTATATTATATTAATATATTATATATTTCCACGCGCGCTCACACATACATACGCACACACTGACACTCGTTTACACGCACATTATACGCGTATAATATTATTTATGATAATAATAATTCTCTACACGTCCACAAGCGCACGTCAGAAAGTTTGGATTTATTATCGGATTCCGTATCGACCTCCGCCGCCGTTTACCTGTATTTTCTGCAATGCGCACATATATATGTATAGAATAGAATATGCTCTCACCTGCAGCGAGGGTGAGGGAGGCGGAAAAATGATTAGAGTACAATAGTGTATACATATTATATACCCTTACTTATAAATATGTGGGAAAACCGACTGACGTCTTCATCGTGCGGAAAAGTTAACACGGTCGGGCGACGCCGCGTGTTAGGTATAATATTATAATATAATAACGGATCTCACAGGTTGCAGTACATCACCCGCCGTTAAACGCGTTTTCCAGCGACGACCACTGCGGCAACTGGTCAAACCGCGGGAACGGTATAAATGTACATACTGCTTGAACGCCCGCGATTTATTTCTGCGTGTATATATACATAATATATTATTGCTTATAATAATATACTATATAAAGAAGTCTTTATTGGGCCCAGATCTATGTACTCTATAAAACAGCCTCCCAGAGCGTGCGAGGAAAATATAAAATATCCACTCAAGCATTGTTAAAAATAGTTGTAAAAAAATAATTTATTATACATAATTATACAACATGGATAAATAGTGACAATTTTAAAAAATAGCTATACAAACAAATTGCTTATAAAAAATTAAATGTATGGACTTATAGGCTGCTATAACTGAGTTATAAGTAAAGATAACGTATAGCTCGTATGAGTTATGTTTACCTTACTGCAATTATTTTTTTCTTGAATGTATTAGTGTTTTAAGTTTGAGAAGTTTAGAGTTTATATTACAATATATGTATACGGTCCGAGTGTTTTAATCCATACGATATAAAGTCAGATATTAAATAATAAATATTAATTAACGACACAATATGTTATCTGACCAATATTTAGGTTTTGTTACAGATGAAACACTTTAAAATAGTATATTTGTATATACCTTGGTACTATCATTGATTATAAATACTAGTAGGTATTTAAATTATTTTAACTGCAAAATATTAAAATATGCAACAAAGTAACTACTTTATTATACTAAATACTCAATACTATTATAATATAGGTAATATTTTTAATCACAATCATTGACCATTAACGTAGCATTGTATACCATAATACTATCGTAAGTCGACCAGAACAATATGAAAATCGCAAACGTATATAAATACTGGCTTTATATAAATATGTACAATACTATCTATGACTATTGACTATTGCATATTCTCGTACGTCTATCTTCAAATTGAAAACTGAGTTCTTTATGATTATATTATAATAAAATTATTACACACAGTTCGCGGTTTCCTCTTCGATCCGACAAACTGACTTAGGCAATCTCCACTTTTTATATTTGCAATCGCGACGTTGTTTATATATATTATATATATACTATGCTTGAGAGGGTTTACGCCGGATACTGCGGATGCACCGTATTCTCGCCAAACGAACGTCTCAATAATCGCATAATAAAACGAACAGATTTTTCGAGATCGTAAATTCGTAAACCACTCTCAGCTATTCGGAAATAACACGATAATAATTAATATTCGACGTTGCGACCAGCGCAGAAAATTATGCTGGATCGATCGCTCAAATATTTTTGTGCCGAAATCGGTATGTAATCTCATTCTACTGTATAGTCATATACTCATATAGATATAATAAATCGCAGCTGTTTGTGATGCGGTCGTGTCGCGTATGAAAAACTCAATAAAATTATATTATATTATAATATAAACACGACGAGATGACCCTCGGGCGGGGGGCGGATGGTTGTCATCGACGTATAAATTTTATGTATATCAAATTATTATTATATGTATACAAAAGGCGGCTCGGGTTCGGGATCATCTATATAGAGTGGCTCACTCGTTTGTCGTCGTCGTCGCGTATCCCTTTTATCTACGTTATAATATAATATTATTGAAATAATAACCCGCGCCGTCGTCTCGGACGATTAATCGTATATATAATATTATATATATATATACATTATCGTGTATAGGTGTCGATCTAGTATGTTATATTATATAGTTTATACATGTAACATGCAATATACATATGTATAAGAGGGACATTGCGAGCGTGCGCGTGTGTGTGCGCGTATATGTTTCTATTTAAGTCTGTCCGCCTTTTCTTCGTGTGGTATAGGTAGCCAGGTATAGGTACATGTATAGTTTTTTTCATTTTATTCTTTTTTTTTCTCTCCGCCGTGTAGTAATAATTAGCGGCGCCCGTCGTGAACGCGTCTTAGTATCCCCAAGACAATGCTACCGGTGCCCAACAATAGAGGAAAACCAATTTTCGATGGCCGATTGTATGTGTGTGTAATCTCTCTATCTCTCTCTTTCTCTCTCTCTCCCTCTCTCTCCTGTTCTGTGTGTATATAATGCACGTCGAGCTCCTCACGTTGTATATTGAAGTCGACCGCCGCCGCCGCCGACCGAACACTGGCGCCGCCACGCCGGACAACAAAATAATATTATATATTTATTAATATCATTTTAATTGTGTGACGACGAAAACAATATTATACGATGATTCGAACTTTTTCCGTCACTATATTGTACCTACGTTGTGGTTAGATATATTTAAATATATATTACACAGAGACACCGCGAAAGATCTAATTAGGTAAATTAATATAAAGTATGTGTACGAAATCCACGTATAGGTAGACAGTAGATACAAAATTTTAGTGCAAAAAGTTGGGATAAAAAAATAATTATACCACTTATTTTATAACACATAAAATATGGATCACCAGTCTTGTAGTCACATGTGATCGTAGTTTTTTTAAATAAAATAATATATATTTAGTCGGATCGTGCGCTGCAGTATTATAGGTATAGGAACATAATGTTATGACAAACCTACTTACTGTTAAATGTGATAATTTGGCTAGTAAGATTAAACCAGTTATCTTGTATAGTACCTAAGGGCCAGTTGTACCGTCTATGATTAAGCTTAATCGGCTGATAACAGATATTTAAACGGGCAAATTCGGCCGATTTAACTCTGATTAACTTATATCATAGACGGTATAACTAACACTTTTGGTTAGTTTAAACTACTATGTACACATTTTATCACTTTAACTTTAGTTATTTTTCGTAAATATCCAATACCAATAGCCAATATTATAAATGTAACACAATTAGGTTATACATACAGGTTATTATAGACATGACTACTAACTGAATTTATAAAATTAACAATAACATGTACGATATATACTTAATATTATAATTAATACTACAGTATAGTATATATCATTATAGCCATATAGGTACGATACAGGAGCGTTATCGGGATGATATCGTACAATAAAGGTCTGGTTTACGACTGCGTTTCATTACTTATATTATAAATATAATTCACACCTAATATAGTTACTTCAGTATATTGATCGCTTATAAATTACCTTGCCACAGGGCACAGATATGAGGATTTAAGGTCCGATTACCTATGACGTATTTTTCAGTCGTTAAAAATGTAAATACTAAAACCATGGTAATATTAATACTTGGGACGAATGGGGTGTGACAATATTTGTATAATTTATTCCGTCCGTGGATGAAAGCGAATTGAATTTGGCATTTGTTAATCGTTTGCGTCGACTACGATCCATCGCTGGTCATTACGGTAAAATCGCATTAATTGTTTACGTTTCTCGGCGATTTTTATTATTCTCTTTTTCAAATGGATAGTTCGTAATTTTCCTGCCCCTCTTTCTTTTCTCCATGGGGCAAGAAAAGGTATACAATTATTATTATTAAAAAAAAGTAATTTTCATAATTACATTTTTTAATATATAATAATAATTGTGATTTTGTTTTTTGATTTTATTGTTCCCCGCGAAATTGGCAATTAAAATAGACGGCGGCAAACCAGTGAAAGCGACTTCTTGGCAAATTGTTTTGGTCCGAGGTGGTATTTTTCTTCTTGGTTAACAAACTACCTACATAACATGTTAAATGTTTAAATTTTATATACATAAAATATATATATTATTCTTCTGTCTGGTGCGCACATAATATATCTGTATTATGAAAGTGGCTAATGCACGGGATAATGCGGATACCTGCCTTAACTTCGATCGCGTTTCCATAAACACTAAACATCAATTAAATCACAACGCTGTAATAATGCACGTGCGTCATTAACGAAGACATTATTTTTTATACGATATAATTGTATTTTAATAACAATCACCTATACATATTATGTGTATAGTTCAATGTAAAGCAGCTTTTTGGAAAATTAACTTTATAAAAATGCTTTAAAACTACGGTTAACATATTATGATCATCTTAACAACTTTGATGCAATAAATATCTCATTAGAACTTAACATTTCTTATTAAATAACATATTTTATTATATTATATTTATCATATTTTTATTGGGTAATAAATTAAGATAAATATAAGTAGGTAGGTACAAATGTAAACTAAATTGTTAGTTAATAGCACGGAAAGTATGATAATAGTTTCAAAACAGACCACCATGGATTATGCGAAAACTTATATAGTTGGTGACCCATGGTATAGGCTAATGATACGTAATATACTAATATCTATATATTATGCCATGTCTTATAGTTTTTAAATAATAATTTTATGTTGTTGTTAATAACCTAATTTTAACTTTGCAGGTGAAGCGATACATTTGGCCCGAGATTTTGGGTACGTGTGTGAAACAGAATTCCCGGCCCGACAAGTGGCGGAATACCTGAGCAGGCCGCACACGAGTGATCCGACAGAATCGTACCGAAGAAAAGAGCTTATACATGCCACAAAGTGAGTACCTATACCTATACCCAATTCATTTTATATTAATAGTATTTAGTTTATTACCGTTTTCGATCACCCATACAGTACGAAATCAGTAAACAATATTATAATCTTGCACACTTAAAATCAAAATTTAAGTTCGTTAAAACTGTGTTAGCTGTGAGGTTCTAGGGCTCTTACCCCCCTTGAAATTACTTCTTTCTACAAAAAAAAAAATTTACCACCCTAATCAATATACACATACTATATTAATTGTTAGTCATTTTTAATAGTTATAAAATCAAGAATCATAGTTTAAGTGTTTTTTTTTTTTATTAGAAAACAAGAATATAATATATTATATACAATCTGTAATAGTTTATACAATATAGGTAATATGGACGGGACGGCGTGATAGAACCTGAATGATACCCTAATCGAACTAAAATCCTGCGTACGCTACTGGTTCAGTCTAATGAAAATCAGTCTAAAATGTGTGAGATATGCTATACTATGACGTATAATCATGTTTCAAAGCGGAAACTGAATTCTTAAATCATTTTATTGAACTATTGGTACTAACTAAATATTATAATAAGAACTGTATAATACCATAATTCATAATATACGGAGAAGGATGCAAAACAAATCGGTGAAAACGATGTTTTTCCGTTTCACAAGCTAGATGTAGGCATATAGGTTTTTTAAAAATGTTCTAGTATTTTGATTTTGAAACAACGAAATCTGGAAGTCCAGACATTTAATAATATTATGTATAACAATTCCCTCAAGTAGGACTTGTATTCGAATTAATTTTCAATTCTCGTAAGTATGGTTGATGTTATATAACCGGACTTACTGAATACAACAATATTAGGTAATATTTGATATTAAGCTATATACTTAAGAGTACCAGTAGGAGCAAAATTTCAAATTCCAAAAAGTAGGGGTAGTGGTACTTGCTCTGTAAAAATAAAAATCGAACGCTGTGTAAAATATAATTTCTATATTTGAGTGCACGCGGTTGCGGTACATATTATGTTATTATTACCTACATGTTATAATATTTTAAATTAGTTGATATAAATACATAATAATATGTTTTTATTTTTTCGCAGACAAGTGACCAAAGAGCTGATGGACCTGCTCAACCAAGACCGTTCGCCGCTTTGTAACACCAGGCCGCAGCACATTCTCGACCCAATCATACAGCGCCCGCTCACACACTTTTCGCTCATATCGCACGGATTCGGCAGTCCCGCGATCGTCGCCGCCCTCACGGCAATACAGGTAACAGTTTTTACATTTTGTCGTTATTAGTTATCATAATTATTTGGATTCTCCCTAAAGATTAGTCCCCATTATTCATACCATCCAGTCATTCTTTACTTTAAATTTACTTTCTTTACTGAATCGTATTTTCACGCAATGGTTCTCAACGGTTGCACGGTGAACATCGGCACACTTGGATATTTTTGAAAAGTCACGGGGCACCCTTCAGCAATAATATCGAATATATAGCTTTTAATAACTGCAAATTAATGCGCATTACACTTCGAAAATTATAAAATATAAGTCAAACCTATATAGATTTTCTATTTCGACAAATCTTTGACTCCATATGTTTTTCGTGACACTCCTAATCCAAGACGGCACCCCAGTCGAGAATCACTGCTCTTAACGTATAACACGACCTTGCCCGACCGTTTATTCATACTTGTTCTCCTTGTTTCCGCAGAACTTCCTCTCGGAATCTTTGAAGCACTTGGACAAGGTGTACCCGTCCGGCAACAGCCTGTCGTCTCAGCAACAGCAACAGCAGCAGAACAATCAACTTCAGCAACAGGACCAGAAGCCCAAAGACTTGGTTGGACTGGAGCTGAAGAAGTGAGCCTGGTCGAGGCGGGCGCTTCGCGAACCTGCCGGCGGCCCTCAGCAGCACCAGCCGCCACCACCGAACCACCTGAGGCTTCAGCCGCAACAGTCGTACGGCGGCACCCGCGACGGCCGCTGTCAGTGATTGACGGCGGTCGCGAGCACAGCCTATCAATAATAATAATAATATTATTATTATATACAAATATCGGTCTTCCGCCACAGCGATTTTCCGTTTTTTCTCATTCCGTGCTTGATACGAGAGATCCAAAACTACGATTTTTCAACGGCCAGCGCTCGGCTGTTTTAAATAATATTAAAAACAAAAAAAATCAAAATAACAAAAAAAATCGACAAACTTACAATGTTGTATATTATTATTATTATTATATAGTGATATTACAATGTGCAGTATAAGTTTTATTAGATATTATTATATACGATATAATATAACGGTACTTGTAAATAATACGATGATTTACTATAATATATGATATGATATATATTATATTTTTTTCGGACAATCGGAATTTTTTTATTATTATTATTTTTATTTACATACATAGTTTACGCATTAGGGACTTATGTACGCGTACCTGCCGCGTGTTTTTTTTAATTTTTATTTATTTATTCTCGTTTTTAGATTATATTTTTTTACGTTTTCGAAACTTGTACAAATCTTGAATGATTTCCCGCCCCTTCATGTGCCATCCGTAAAATTACCTGCGGAACCCTCTCGATTCGTTGATAAGAAAATATTATAAATATCAAAACGTATATAATTAATAATTATTGTATATTATAATTTGTGTCGTCGTCGCGACTTGTGTTTTATTTTTAATTAATTTTTTAATTATCTATTATTATTATTATTATTATTATTATCATCATTATTATTATCTTGTACTTGCGAACGTTACATGACATAATATATTATGATTGTGACGCCATTACGACAAAGAATCAAAATGAAACGTTAAATTAGAAAAAATCAAATTTAGTTTGTAGTACAATTGACTCGTCCCACGATATTATTGCCATATTATTATTATTTATCATAAAGCGATATTTGTTATCATAATGGTTCAATCATATTGTCGGTTTATTAGTTTTTGAATCGTGTACATATTAATTTTACCAGAGATGAATCATTTTTTGTAGATTTACAATATAATTATACGTACTTATACTGACAATATTATTATTAACTGTTTGACGCTTTTTTGAAATTATAAGTTAAAAAAAAAAATGGGTTGATATTCGTACTATACGTAAATACGAAAAGTCCCTAATAATAATAAGATTAATAGTAATATGTATTAATGATAATGATGATAATTAAATAATGGTACATTGGTATCACGTGATATTTACCCAAACGATAATAAACAATAATAATAATAATAATAATAATAATTTTTGTACAGCGAGTTTAATTTTATACTTATACACGTATAAGTATTATTATATTATATATATAGACAAACGCGCTCTTATATTATATTATATAATTGTATATATATATAAGAGTATAATAAATGTACATAATATATTTATAAAGATGAAAAAAACAAAAAACAAATAATTGTATCATATTTATATTGTGTAGTTTTTCATTACAATGCTCAAAAATATTACTATAAATGTTATTAAAAACTTCGTGTGTTTATTGTTGTGTCCATAGTCTGTAAATCGTCAACAGGCGTCTCGGGCGGTAGACCTTTATTTCCATCATTTACAGTTTCCATTTCCACGCACATCCTTCAAAAACAACAACGAAAATCGCCCGTTCAGTTGTTAACTCCAAATTGTATTTTCTAGTAAAATCGTGTTTTCGTCTCCCGCCCGTTCGGTAAAATCGGTTTACAATCATAGAGTATAATATATTATAGATAACGTATACATCAATGACTTTGAGGATTAAAACTTCAAATGGGCAATGTAATATGAACTATAAAGATTATAGGTATATAATATATAATATATAATATATTATATATATATATTATATAGGTACATAAAATATATAGTCCGGCCACGTACGCAGGGGGGTCTTTTGAATGTTCATAGTTTCAAAACGCCCCAAGTAATATTTTACTTTTTTTTATGGTCTTCAATTATCATAAATACTAGGTTGTCTGTATAGATTTAATTCTGTGATTTTTATATTATTATAGGTATACCATTATTGCCTATATTACAAGAAAAAAATATTGTACCTAAGTATTGCTATTTTTTTGATAAAAAAAATATACCATCTTTATTAAAAAAAATTAGTGAGAGATCATCTTCAACATTTTATTTTTAAAAACTAAGTACACCGCCTGAACATTTTTCTGCGCCCCTATACGTCCCTGAATATTTAGGTACATTATATTATATAGTATAAATTATACGACAAGCGTAAGTACCCATATACATTTATATTATTTATCAGTTATCACGTATCGAAAGTCGAAACCACCTATATATTATTTGGTGAAAATGGGTACAATTTTAAGCACTGTGATGATTTTGTATAATCAATAGACTGAAGTATATAAGGACGCAAGAACCACTGTATACTATTTAATAGTTAAAATTATACCTACTGATTAAAAAAAAATCATCACTTATTCTAAATTAAACAATATTTCATTATTGTTAATAAAAATTAGGTAGGTACTTTGACGAAAAGCGTTATGGTTGAACAAAATATCATATCTGTTTATATTTCAAAACAGGCCTCGGCTCGTGTACAGATAACAACTTCCAAAATGAACGGGAATTTTTATGATTTCAGAAGAAGTTAAGCGATAATTATTTTTTTTTTTGATCATTAAGCCCGGCACTATGGCCATTAGATGTTTGTTTGTAGGGGAGAGTACTGTTGGTTGGTAAACACGAGTGTTAATATTAAATTATATTTTATTAAATAAGTGTAGATCAGTGGAGCAACTAGAAAAAATTTCGGGGGGGGGGGGGGTACAACTCACCCCCCTGGTTGCGCCACTGGTGTAGGTACATTTTCGTTAATTATTTTAAGATTAACGTATCGCTAAAAATAAAGAATGTTGTTTAATAATTTATCTTTTATATTTATTTTTAATAACAAAAGAAAATGTAGAGCAAACCTTCTTAATTGTAGAAGATAACGCCTGCAGTAGTAAAAAAAATTGATAATACAATTGAATAATAATAAAATAATTGCTGTCAGTGGAATCGTTTTGTCACTCGTCCGAGGGCGATGGCAGTTTGATGGCGCCAAAAAACAATTGTAGGACATTACCGCGAGTCACGTGAAGTCCAACAGAGCTTCTGGTTTCACCGTCCAGCAGCCCAACCGGCGCCTAATGGCCGACCATCGGTGTCGGTACGACGTGGCGTCCAACTTGGTCTTTGCATAAGTGACCTCTCGGCCTGCGGTTCCACCGTCACCGGCCAACAGATGTTTGCACGCGTCGAACAGCGACTTTTTGCACAGAGCCGACGAACCGGTCGCCTTTCCGTCCACCGTCTTTTTTGTCGCGCCCTGTTTGCGGCCGTTCACCAACACTTCGTGACGTCTGCGATATGACACCGAGAAACCATAACATTATTACTATATACGTTCAGATGTTTTTTTTTTATAATATAATATTATTAAACTTATATTTAATATAATAGCATGAATTTTAAGCATTTATTAGAAATCTGATTTTTGGACATTTTCGAGTACCAATACCTACCGCCTACCAATTTCTATTATGAACACCGTATTGTCTCTAGACTCTGTAGTAAACTATAATCAAATAGGTAAATGGATTTTTTTTCAAACTAGTAAGGTCGGGTGATGTAAGTGTGAAGGAAAAAGGTATCACTAAATTGTATGTTTTTCGGTTAGGTATATGCAGATAATTGTTGCAGGCTTACATAGCTTTAAATGTATAATGAATTAAAACATCACTATATACTATAATCAAATTATATTATGTCTTTATCATGGAGATTATACTATTGATTATTTTTAATTGAATTAAAACGTCCTATACTTGCCCCCATTTTCTGAGCAAATGCAAAATCTAATCATTTTGTATGATAATTCTATATCATTTATAATAAGCTTGGGGAGAGTGAATAAATTGATGAAAAAAAGATATAATTTGATTTTTGTTTTACAGAATATTTTTAAAAATCAATCACTAACCGTAACTCGGAAACTATTCGTTCGAATTTTGATTTAGATACACCATATTGCTACATTTTTAATACAAATCATCTGCGCTAAATAATTTATACTTTAAAGTGAAAAGGGTGGTTCTCATTTAAAAACGGAAGTTTGTATCAACCACAGGACACTGCTCAAATGGTACAGAAAATCTCGAGTAGTAAAAAATATATAGTAGATATATTTAAGTATATTTAAAAATGCTAAAAATAATATTTTGAATAGCTGCATAATATGCAGTTAAATAGTTGTATTAAAAAAAAGGGGGTAAGAATGATTGGCGAAACACTCATCTGTATAATAGTTTGAACAGACCAGAAAAGTATCAAATGTGTATATTTTATGTCTGTCACTTATAATGAGTGTAATTTATGTATAGGTGTGCAATGTAATGAGTATATGTACTGGCCAACATTACCCCCTCCTTTATACATTTTTTTAGCTATTAAGAATGCTAACAACTATATTGAAAATAAAAACAAAAAAAAAATTGTTATTCTAAAAATAGCGAATCAACATTTTTCTTAAAGATATAGTTTTACAGAACAGTACAAATCGTTGTCATTACCTATTGGTTATAAAGATAATAATATAGTTTTCACTCACCCCCCTGACACGTTCGTGCCTCCTACCCCACCGTCGAGGCAATCGTCTTTCCACCAGACCACACTGGACGGACACGGCTTGCAATCCGCTGCCACTCGGTGTTTGGCGTATTCGAACTCCAAAGTAGAACGGGCCAGTCGGAGCGGTGGAATCGACGTGTCTTTGTCGTCGGAGCAGTTTGCCCGTTCAATGACTGCCCTGCGCAAGGCCGGCTCAGAGTATGGACAACCGCCGCCAACGGTCAGCGACGACAAGTACACCGGTTCGATGAGCAGCGACAACAAAGCTCCCTAAAACAAAATTGCACACACTATATTATTCACCGAAGACAAAATTTTATTGTAATATATCTCCTATTAAGAATGGAGAACGGGAGCTGGTATTTGGTACACTGTTTAGGCTTTATAGACTATGGACTCGACATTTTTCATTTTCACCATACAAAATGTGAAAATTTGAAATAATTTTATTTCGAAACTTTTTAAAGTACCTAAACAGGTTTATAATTTATGAAGAGAGATTACCGATGTTATAACTTAAAATTAATACAATTTGATTAAATTTTGAATAAATATGGTAGCTACAGGTACCTAATAAAATTAATCATTGTCAACAATTCATTATAATATATAGGTACTTACTACCGTACTTATGATTCGAAATCCAATCATTGTCCATAATGACTAATAACCCATTTTGTTTAGCTTTATTATTTATAAAATACAATATATTTTAATAATCTTTAGGTATATGTATATATACGTTAGCCAAAGTTGTTGGTTAAACACTGCTATAACTGCAGGTCAGCATAGGAAAGCGTCCAACTATAAGGTGGCAATAACCTCGGTCCGGCCCTGAACTGGGCGTCAAATAATTTTATAAGTATAATATGTAATGTAAAAAACGATTAGGTATTTAAACAAACATTATATAATTAAAGCAGTTATACAGGCAACCGTTAAGTGAATTATCGAAAGCCGTGGCTTAAGAGTGGATCACCACCTGCAGAGTGCATAATAAAATAGTAGATTTTGTCCTTATGCACTGTTACTAATATATTTATGTATAGCTTGAGTTATACCTGTAGGCCTGACGAGTGCCACCTCAGCAATTTGTCACTACACGAGACTGACAACGTCCGGTCTCCTCGGCCCGGTTTAGTCCTGACCGCTCCGACCGCGTGATACGCTGCGCCCGGAAGTCGAGGGTCCTGTCTCGTCTCTATGCTCAGACATTTAGCTCCGGTCCGGTGTATGTCGTCGTCGTTGTCATCGCCATCGGTTTTACGTCTTTTTGCTTCCGGTCCGACGCCGTCGTCATCCACGGCCGCCCGCTTGCCCCCGTCCTTTGGAAATATCGACGCGTCGCCACATGGAGTGTGACTGGAGAAAAAGTGGAAAGTCACACCTGGTTGCAACGTCAGCGGGCATGAGCGATCCGAATGGTTTTCCGGGCCACAATTGTCTTCTGCAAGTGCTGACCCCCGCACAAATATCGACGGACGGCCTTTGCGAGCCGATTCGATTTCTTGGATGAAATACCGCAACAGAGCTCTGCGTGCCAAGACCTGAAACCCTCGAGTACAATATGAACTATCAAAATATGATTGGGTCAGACGTTTTTGAATCCAAGCACAGCATGAGCTCTATTATATAATATTATAATTTACCTATGTGGGTATATATATTCGAATATCGGTACACGAAACCGGCGGCAGCGATCATTTCAAGATGGATAGTAATATGATACATCAACTTCAGGATGACGATCATATAATACCACTTGCAGTCCACCTGAAGCGGCGCAACTATATATATAGGGCTTACAGCAACCACTGACTTAGATTTAGTCTCCCGAAAAATACACGAATGAAAGTTTTTTTTACTATTCTCGTACTACAGGTAAATACATTTTTATTAGTCTAATGAATGACAAAGAAAAAACCCAGGAAGATAATATTATGTAATAGTGATGGGTGTATAGGATAGGGTTTTGTGTCAACCATTTCTGTGGTTGGCTTACTCGATTCTCGATAGTCCCGCACCAAAAAAAAAATACCAATAAATTGTCTGATGCTATTGGGAGCTTTATAGGGGTGGGTCTCCCACGGGTTGTTTAAAACAACTGAAATTTTGGTGATAGCCGTAAATTGTGATATATAGCCAGCCATTCCAGAACTTAACCCAATACCAGTGTCCAGCAGAGTACCACAATATGCAGTCATACAGCAGTCTTCGTTCGTTGACTCACCTCAGCGTGACTGTCGTTGACCACAGTGCCCTTGTCACAAAGTTTACTGGCGCCGATACACTTGGTGCCGGTGGCCAGTGAGACGACTTTCGGCGAGCCCGAGTCGTCCGCAGCCTGTACGACGCCCGACAAGAGAGTCCACTGTTTACCGGATATCGGTTTGCCCTTGTCCGGCAGCCGGTCGAATTTCTCCAGACACAACCCGGCTACCCGGTCAGCGAAGTCTTCGGGCCGCTATGAGACGAAAACATAATATATCATATTATTATAATATACCTACGCTATATGTATCATATTTTGTTTAGAAATATACGGTACAGAGTACTACAGACGCATTATATACTAATAAACAAAAAATTATATGTACAATTCAATAATGAAAACAGATATCTATAACAATCAATGATTTGTTAGAGTACATTATATTATAGGTCGTATTATTGTATTAAAAAATAATAGGTAAGTGTTTGACTGCATACTGCGGGTGTTTTGTTAAAAGCACGTAAGCATAACGAAATTATTTTATTTTTCATATTAAAACATAATAAGTAAGATAAGACTAAAAGTAGACTATAGTTTTCGTAAATTTATGTTTGGATAAAATATTTTTGCCTGAAACATTTTCGAATATAGCCCTTCGACCTACATATATCCTACCATTCCTACCTATATACGTTAGTATAGAAGTTACACTATAATATTTTAAACTTTATATTGTGTTCTAGATTCGTGTTTACGTAAGAGTATGTAATTAAAAATATAAAATATTTCAAAATAGTAAAATTATAAAAAAAAAAACCATTGCCGATATTACCTTATATTTTCGTTGCATGTTTATGTCTATATTATATATGGTACACATTTATAGCAGGTAATGGCGGAAAAGCTAGTACATAATATTATGTCAAAATGTTTAAATAAAATAACAATAACAATAACTAACAGTAAGAAATTGGTACCTACACAAAATATATTTTACCTGTATTTTATAATTTATTCATTGTAGTTTTGACTACAATCAATGAATAAATACAAATAAATTTTCTTCAGAAATAAAAATATAAAATCGTCAATAAGATCAACGTTGTTTTAAACAGTCCGCAGATTGTAAAAAAAAAAATTGAATAAAAGAAAAGTTTGTTTAAGTAAGAATATTTTTTAATGTTTTTGTTTTTTTTTTAAATCGAAAGAAAAATCAAAGATTGAAAGTCATAGAGTGTGGTTTAAGTAAAATTCCAGTTTACCAAAAACCTTTAATATAGACAGATACAGGGGCGTATTTATGGGGGTGGCTGAGGGGGCTTCAGCCCCCCCCGAAATCTAGGAATTGTTTATTAAGTCTACTTATTATGTTCTACTAGATGTAAAATCGTAAAAGTTCAATTTATTTAAAAAAAGCTGTTGAATTTTATGAAAATGATTTACCGGGGCTAAATGACGTTATAGAAGCAGAGTACGAAATTTGGCAAGCTAAGTGGAAGAATATTGAAGACAACTTAAGGCCCACAACTGCTATAGAGGCTTTGAGTGTCTGTGATAATTTAATGTATCCAAATATGTATGAATTATTAAAAATACTAGCTATATAATACCAGTATCCACCGCTACAGCTGAGCGTAGCTTTTCGACGTTGAGAAGACTCAAAACGTATTTAAGAAATACAACTTCAGAATCCAGACTAGTGGGACTTGCCCTTTTAGCTATTCATAGAGACATTGACATACCAGATGACATTTTATTAGATAAATTTGCTAACAGTGGCAAAGAAAGAAATTTAAATTTGATTTGATTTGTTATATTAATATCGTATTATTATTATTATTATTATACATTATTTCATTATTAATTTTTTGAAAACATTAAAAATCATGAAAAAAATTAAAATTGAGTACTAATTTTCTAACTCTTATTTTTAATAGGCTGAATTAGGGAATTTCAGTTGGAGAAATACCACAGCCCCCCCCAAAAAAAATATCTAAATACGCCCCTGGACAGATACCACTAAAATATTATACATAATATAGTACAAATACAAGCAAAATTGCCGAGTGCTGACTAGGTTTTTTGAATATTTGCAGATTATCTCACATTGCTCCGTTTTAAATAAAATTATTTTAGAGAGTTTCTGATAGAAGATTTATTGTTTAATACTTCTCGAAAATTGTATTCTCTATGGCTCATTCTTATGTGAGAAATGTGAATTGCAAAATGCAAATTTTAATTATTCAGTTTATATTATATATGAACTAGGTATATTTAATGAATTTATATTTAAAATTGTGAACTCATAGGCCCCCACATAAACATGTTCAGTGGGCATTATCTTATAAAAGAATAAATAAGAAAAATTATAGGTCTAAATTTTAGACTCTAATTGATGGAAAATATCAAATATATATCTATCATAGACCTTATACTAATATAAGATCTATGGTACTAATATAATAGTATTATTATAATTATTTTTAACTGTTCAATGTTCAATTAAATAATCAAAATAAATAAAGTTTATAAACGAAAATAAAACATTATTATACGTCCGTCGTATATACGTATATAAAAATTAAATATTTTGCCCTTCGTTGGGGGGAGGGGGGTAATGTCAAACGCGACGGCACGTATTTATATATGACCGTGTTATTGGTCTATGATACCAGCCGAGCTCGGTAACGTTATCGTTATCAGTTATCACATACATAAAAAGTGTTAGGACTCGTTAGTCGCTACTGAATATTAGGAACGCTTAGGACCTTTGCTGGGTCTAATTTTTGATATTATAGAGCATTATAGTGTAAGGGCAAACAATTTGATATAAAAGGGCTTGTGTCGTATTGCCGTCGTAATGGGTCGCCCAACTATTGAATATACGTACCATCGCTGTCCGCTGAACTGCTACTACGAACCTCCTGGTAACGAAACACTCATACAATCAATATTATACAATATACATAAAAATATAAGCTGTAAATCTGATCGCTGATATCGCTATTTTGTGTATAGTAATATCCATAGTCCATACATAGCAAATAGAAATAAGGACGGACTAAGATGAACTGGCCACTGAGTACAAACCACGATTAAAGATATCTTTAAATTTAAACTATAAATTCCATCACTAGTGTAAACATCGAATTATCGAAAAATTTAAAACAAGGTGTAATATCAGTACACCTTGATTCAAAACAATTTCCGTGGACCTCAAAATGTCTGGTGTTATGGGAACGTAACTGTTACTTACGCTCATAGTGGCATAATTTTAAACTATGGACATGATAACATGGTGGTCGCCGGACGGTGGTGTACCATACATAATAATAATTATAATTTATAAAGAAATATATAAATAATTAATAATAATATAATATAAATAAGCCTATGGCTTGCACATTAAAATTAGAAGTGTGCACTTGAAGGAATTTAGAAAACAAAGTTCAGTGAAGTGACTACTGAAACTTCATCGATAGATGGCAATCATGATACTTTTTTATAGTATCACCTATAATATTCTTTATTCATAATCAATACACCTTGCTCATAATATATAAATATGTTTAATCTATGTTTGGTGTCCACTGAAATAATTGTTATTTATTTTTATGCCAGTCCTTATTATTTGTTGATAACACAAAGATAACGATTTGTTTATTATTATTAAATATTTATTAATTACCTATTATTATTGTTTAAGAAATGGTAAAGTTGTATTTGAATACTAGTTTTTATATTTTATGTTTAATATTGTGTATTAATCATCGTATTAATATTATTTGTATTGTTGTTGAGTAGGGTTCGGAGAGCCCAAAAACGGTTGCCAATGAAGAAACGTTTGATGAAAACAGTTTGGCCGAAGCCAATTCCAAGGAACAGTACAAAGAAATGAAAAGAAAATTGAGGCTTTTAGTCTATGTGAGTGCCTTAGAGTATTAAGTCTTTATTGTTAACAAATTTCATTATTTGTTTAATTTTGTGTTCAAGGAAAATGAAATCTTTCAACAGACCCTGAAGACCACCCAACGGAAACTCCTGAAGGCGTCACGAGATAAAAATATTCTACTGGATAGACTGATAATGTATGAAATGGTAGATCTCAGTAGTAGCGATGATGAACTGACCGAGTCATCGGATGAAGGCGATTCTACCAAACCAGAACCTACTAAGAAGTAACTAATCCACTTTTCTTTCACTATGCTCTTTTGTTATATAACATTATGTGCAATAATATACTTTATATTTATGTTTAGAAGAGTACAGATGGAATGTTTGATACCTAATGAACAAATTATGATATGCATGTACAAAATGTACCTATATAGCTATATTATCTTAATTTTTGACTTTAAGTTAATAGTTGTTCTTATAGTTATCGCCAGACTATAAACAAACATAATAAATACATTTTAGATTCCAAATGAAATAGCTTTTAGAGTCTTCCCCAATATGTGTCCCCCCGCCTAAAAACACCATTGCTTTTTGGTAGTTTGAGAGAATTGCCGGTATGATTAAATCAATTTTAACATTGACCCGAAGTTCAAAAACTAAAAGGTTTTAGTTCTAAGAAATGTAAGTTTGATATAGCAAGTAGTGATTGGCAACAATATCGATAATTTGATATAATATAAATATTGTAACTAATTTCTGATATTTCTGATATAAATATTATTTTATATATTGGTAACTACCTTTTTTCTTCTTATCTTTAATTAGCTAGGTAAAGTAAATTTTTGAATTAATAATTATTAATTCAATATTTATTTTAATAAGTAATAAGTAATAACTAATAAGTACTAAGTCGGTAATATTTAAAATGTGTATTTTGAATTTTCGATATTTTTGATACAGTATTGAACAACTTCTAATTTTTGGATACAATATCGGAACGATTGTTGCCCATCACTAATAGCAATAAATAACAAATTAATGTTTGGTGACCTATTAAATAATAATAATTTCAACTTAAAAATAAAATCTTCAAATTCTTACTTAAATTACAAAAAATTTAAATTGCTTAAATTGGTTATTTTTTATAAAGTTGCTTTGTGTCTTTTTCTAGACAAAATATAAAATAAGTATTTAAAGGTATAAATGTATAATACATTTTCAATAGACCAATATTTTATAAAATAAAACAATGTCAGAGAACATTAATTCTAATATTTTATTCACATGTGTTGTAGGCGAAAAGACCCACCGGCAAACAACAACTCTTCAAGTGGAACTAGTAAACAGTCTATCAGTCCTCAAAGGACTAATCCAAATCCAGCCAAAAAACGAAAACCTTCTACTCCAAAAGCTTCTAAGTCTGCACCACTGGTAAATCATTATTTTTATTGGAAATTTAAAACTTGTGCTATTATCAGGAAAGATGGACACTTAGTTAAACATGGTACTGATTAACCTTTCGGCTCACCATTCCCTCGATTATCATCTTTTTCTTCAACTCTTTTAAGATACTGCTACATATATTACCCCATATATCTTTAGAATTTAACTTCTCTTTTTACATTTCATAGAATGTATAATTCAAACCTTTATATTTTGTAAATATTTATTGTGAAAACTGTGTGTAAAATATGACAAATATGTATAGCTGTGTAAAAATTTTTTTTCAGCCACTTCAATCAAATGAATCTCATTCTAACAATACATCGTCAACGGCTGAAAGCAGTAAAACAGTGGTCGAACCAAAGTCAGGAAACAGTTTATGTCAACACAGTTTAGCAACAGACATGTTTAATGACACTTTTTCAGCGAAAAGTGAATCAAACAGTATGTATGACATAGACACATCACCTAACAATATTGCTGAAGATATGATCAATGTCGACAGTATTGGAAAATAATTTACTCAACAAATCAATTTTTTTGTGAACTTATATTTTAATGTTAAATATTGTACATTACATCTGTAACAACATGTGTATATAGGTTGTATAAAATAAATGTAATTTTAAAATGTAAAGCATTTGAAAAAATTTGTTTTACTTTCAGTCTGTCGACCATTGTAAAATCGCAATTATTTATACTCTGTATAAATTGTTCTGACATTACTTAAACTTATACCATAAAATGTAATTTAATACATAAGAACTGTTATGTATATTATGTAAATCTGCAAAACTGTTTCAAAATAGTGTTCAGACTTTACTTGGTGTTACAATCTTATTTGTGTACAAAATTGTACACAAATAATATTATAATCTTAAATTATTGACTTAAAATACTAATATCGCTGGTTATAAATTAGGATTATTTTTATTTTGACTTATGCTAAATTTGACATTTGTTTTCATTTCTTCAGGCACTTTCACAATAATATGATGTTGGCAAGACATTGTGGTTTACATGATTAAGCATTTAGGACGTCTACGGCGACGGTCCTCGGATAATTCTTTAGGATGGTTCCGTATGATGCGCACCACCTGTAGGGGAGAAAAAACCAGTTAGTATTTTAATGTAAAATATCAAGCTGTTTCATGTTGAGTTAATTTTACACCAGAGAACAGTTATTAGACAAAATGTGTTTATGTTTTGGTTGCTGCATGTAAAAGGTTGACATTTACAAAACTATGTTTAAGAATGTTATACTGTACGTAATTATTTGTATATTATATAATAATATATTATATTTTATATACTAAGTTTGTATTATTATCAGATAACATGTGAAAGTTATAACTGTAAGATATTTTCTTCTATTATCAAAAACAAGTAAAATTATTCAATTATGTTTCTATGAGAAAATCATATTATTATACTTGTGAGGTGTATTTTCGAACCACAAAAGTGTGATCTTCAGTACAGCCGAACTACACCAATATGTTTATTTCATCAGATCAATAAATGATTTTTGTCAACAGAATGTTAAGATTCCAAAGATTTTCAACTAAACAAGGTACTTTTATATATATATATATAATATGTATACTTATGTCTTACATGTAATATTTTTTACAAATGTAAATTTTATTCTAAGACCATGTCTTATATAAAAACTAAATAATTTACAAATTAAATCGTACTGCTGCATTAGTTTTAGCATGAATTTGAATACACATATATTTACTGCCCTGATGCTACAAATAATTTTATTTTACTCATTTGATTCCTAACCTTGCAACCTTGTATCTCATACCTTAAATATTAATCAGCAAATATTTCATTAGCTCCCCCCACTAGTCCCACTCATTCTTAACAGCAGTGTTGTTTTTATGGGAAGGGGGCACATAGTAAAATTTCAGATTCAATTAAATTATTTGCCATAAATATACCCAAAGTACCACAGGTTCTTAAAAATATGTCATTGGCCAATAATGAAAATTATTCCTATACAAGATATTATGGCACGAAAAATAATGATAAAATAATAATAATAACGCGATCGTGTAAACCTCGTGAAAAGCGCCGTCGATGTTTTGAGGTGGATCTTTGGCGCTGGTCTCCATGTACGGCAAATTTAATCTGTTAGCCATCGCGCGACCTTCGCTCTCGCTGATCTTGCGCAAGTGCACCAGGTCCACCTTGTTGGCCACCAGCAGTATTGGATATTCGTCTCTGGCAAAGGAAATAATATTTATGTTTTTACTATTCATTGATGGCCTTTCGTCCCCGGCCCCCGCTGTATATACACTCACCTGTCTTTGACCCGAAGTATCTGAGTGAAAAAATTAGGAACGTTTTTGAAACTGTTCGGGTCGGTGACCGAATAGACAATCATGAAACCATCTCCTTTTCTCATGTACTGCTCTCGCATCGCACTGAACTCCTCTTGACCGGCCGTGTCCAATACTACGAACAAAATAAATAAGTCGATGAAACATAATGATGATCAACCGAGAGATGAGAAGCGATCGTAAACGGTGTTGCGGTGAATGGTGGATACATCAACATGCTCTACTGTAGACTTACTGCTCTATCAGTTTTTAGGATTTTATATTAATTAAAACGCTAAAATGTTTCGAGTAAGTATACCCATTTGACCTTATTATATAAAACATAGTTTTTAGTGGAAAAAGTCTAATTTTTTTTACAAGGCACATTTTAGTAAGACATATTAAGGTATTAAACAGTTGGTATCTCATAATTTGGATTTCTCATTTCTCTTTGAAAGCCTATATCAAATTTTGACTAGATAACAAATAGTGCTTTATAGGCGATTAACAAAACTAGTCTGTGAATTTTTATGAACTTTTTAAAATTATTATTTCTTAACAATGCGTGTAAAAACAGGAAACAATGGCATGGCTATATTACAAAGCATGTATGGCTGTATAATACATTTAAATGCAAAGGTTCTTACGAGAATTCTATGATAAATTGTTATGATGAATAGTAACCTCAGTCTTCAGAGAGAAGGCAACTGGCCTTAATAAATTATATAAACAAATCTCAAACCAAATATTCGTGTTTTTGACAAACTTTCGGACGCGTATGAAATGGGGCCAATGCGTATTTTTAATAATTTTAAATTGCTATAAGAACAACTTATGGAGAACCTTTTATTGACCTTTCTAGGACTCTGTAGAAGTGTAGAAGCATAGATAATACTATATTTTATTATTGTTACAGTGTTATAGGTATATTATACAATATAATTATATAATAAGTATAGCAGGTATAGTATTCTACACATTGCATCTATTACCAATATTATAGTCATTGACGGGTGCCCCGCACGGCCACCGGGCCACGTGACAACTAATAATAATAGCAGGCGGGTACATATATTATATACCTATATATATATTTGGGTAACTAGTAACTACCTATGTACAGTTGGCGCGAGCACACCGTATTTTGTAATGCACAGGGGACCTATATATTATATTGTGCGGCGACGACTTGTTTTAGTCGGTCATAAGCATAACTCGTAGTATTATTAATATATACGTATATTACTATACATCATGTACGGATGAATCTATAATTGCTAATGCGTTCAGGTGACGTGCGTGTTGTAGGCGCGCGGAAACCGTCGACACAACAAACGCAGTGCGGCGGCGACACATAAATACAGATATATATATATAGCAGGGGTAATATAATAATAATAATATTACGAGTGTATGGGATGTAATGGGATTTAAACAATATAAAAATGTGTGCTTGCGCGTGGTTGTGTTTTGTTTTGGTGACGAGCACTGCGTTTCACACTATCTGGCTGGCATTTTTTTTTTCATTTTTAAATTTGGTTTCATTCTCGTTTCTCAGTCGTCCATTTTCCGCACGTTATAATTGAGATGTAATAGTTTTCGTCGGATGCCTGCAAATAATCAACGGTTGCGCCTAGGGGTGAGTAATAATAATTGGCATCAAGTCTAATTGTCTAAATCGTAAATAACAATGACCACAATCGCGGCCATAAAATATGATATATTTTTAGTAAATTATAGACGGCACACACGTCAGGTTACAGAAATCGTGTAGTTTTAAGGACATAATATATTATAATACTGTACGATTTCCAGCGTCTATATCTATTTTAGTATTTTCCAAAAGTATTCGAACCGCAGCACCGGCGCTGCAACGAATCTTTCAATTTTTCCCGAATACAAACACCATGTGGAAACGTTTCACAATAGGCAGCTTTCTCAATCCGTAGGCAATAGGCACTACAATATCAGTTTAAACGATGGGTGTTTAAAACAGATAAATTGTACTACTATTTAATTCTTCAGGCTGCAGGTTATGTCAGCACTTGGATGTCTCCCCCTCGATACAAAAATGTCAAAGTGAAACCAAAACGAACGAAAACAGTCAGTTTTCCATTCCCGGCTCCGCAAGAAAGCTCTGACGTGTGCCTATATTCAAATGTCATCCAACTATATTATATTTAAGGTAATATTCTGTAGAATATTTTTTTTTTATTCGGGATGAACTACTTACACTTTATAGTATTAATAATAAATAATAGGCGCTTCCAGTTTATTAATTTGTTATTTTTTCACAATCTCGATTTGTTAAATGAATATTGGTGTTATTTTATTCTCCGGATAGTTAATTAACAATTGATTTTCGAGAAAATATGTCATTATTCTTAACACTAATTGATACCTAAATTATAACTTTATTAGCGTTTAAAACTTGTGTCAATCAGATGTAACATTATTATTGGATTAAAAATAATAAATTATTAGTACTTGGTTCGTTCAATAATTTTTTATCAAATATTTGATGTGCACATAATCACATAATACTCTTGTTATTATTATTTTACAACAATTGACAGGCTTCTGTAGACTGTAATCACTAATCGATATGATATAACCTAACGTCCTAACCACTTAGTTGTCATCTAAGCATGTGTTATGTATTGTATACAATATTCAATACGCTTAATAAATCAGAAATATGTATTTAGTGTGATTCACCAAGCAAGTCCATTCCCTAATTTCTTTTAATAATGAATTCATTCAAATTCTGTTTTTTTTTTGGAATTTTTAAAAATATTTTCTTAATGATCACATTTTCAAATTCTTTATATTTTTGGTACTACTTTAAAAGTGTCATGGGAAGATACAAACTTCTGATTTTCAAATGAGAACACCTATTAATATAGTAAACTATTTAGTGGATAGTTTTTTTTGAAAATTTTGATGTACTTACCTAATATAAAATTCACACGAGTAGTTTTTCCGTTATTAAAATGTTTATATTAAGGGTAGTCCTTAAAAATGGTTTTACAAAAATATAAAATCGTTGTAATATTGGATCTAATTAGTTTTTATTTAACTTAAGCAATTTTTATAAATTAAAAATATTGATGAATTAATATGAATTGTTTATTTGAAAATTCAAAAAATCAGATTTTGTTTAACTGCATTATTGAAGAAAAACGAAACATGCTTGGTGAATCGTTCTATATGTCCTATATGGCTATATATATTTTAAGAAGATACCCTCATTGGCAATCATTGCCAGGAAATGATTCATAGATACTGATTTATATACATAAATTGCATTTAGTACGTATAAGCACAACATGATATAAATTATAAACTTCATAGTTCCGCGTATTCCTATGTACTTACTACCTACCTAAAAAGTAAGTTCGATTCTCATTTCTCGGTATAGTAATATAGAGGTGTATAAATATAATATACTTCGTGTGATAATGACTGCTAAAGTTGTACTACCTACTACTTCTTAGGGCTATAATAACACTATATTCAATTAACAAAAATGTTTCCGGTTTTGTGATTAATTACGACACAGTGACACATAACACCACAAAGTAATATTAATTATTATTAACATGTTACGCACCTATTATTATTTTCAAAATTATTTACCATCGAGCACGCAAAACTCATCGTCGACGCACGTGTGTTGAATATAGCTGTCCTCGATGGTCGGATCGTAATCGGCTACAAACATTTTCTGGAAAAATTGAATGGTGATCGCGCTCTTACCCACACCGCCGTCACCGACCACTACCAGCTTGTACGTAGGCAATGGATGGTTGGGGGCCTGGGTTATGGCGCGCCGATGGCGGGTCAACTCTTGTTGGGTCGTGTATGCGAACCTCGACGACAGCTTGTCTGCAATAATAATAATTTGAGTTATTTTAATAGTATAACTTATAAGTTATAAGCAAGTAGTAACTATTGATTCAATGAATGCTTAAATTTTGACGTATATCCAATATCGTTACGACTGGTATTCGTCTTTAATCTTTATAATATTTTTAGTGACATTACTGACATTAGTGTTAACATAAAAAGTATGCCAATAATTAGGAAAGCAAATCATAAAAATATATTTATTGTTATCCACCACAAATGACTAAATGAGTGATGAATCTTGGTCGAATTATATTTCGGAAAAGCGACGCAAATTTGCTCGTGAACTGTGGTAGGTAGGTAATAGGTACACCAAAACCAAGACACACTTATATAATCTAAATTTTGTATTTTTTCATTTTTCCATATGCGAAATCGGGTTATATTTCTAAAATTGGATGTTGGTTCATCGGAAATTAATAGCCTCAAAAAACAACTAAACCGTTTCAATAAAAGTTATATCAATAGATTACTTGAAACTTGGAAAGTGTTTATAACTGAATTTTTCAACTTACGTATAGGCTGCTACAGTGCTACCTATAGCTTTTTCATCTTACAAGAACATTGTTTATGTTTATCTAAATGGCTGCAATTGGTTACATAATATTATAATTAGAAGACATTGGGCATATACATTTTCTACAAATATATTTATTAAGGGGAACAATTTAGGCAATTTCTAATCTTGTCGTCGCCGCCCGTAATCTATGTGTTAGTCGTAAATGATTATTAGTGTGAAATTCGAAGAAATTCGAACTCGATAACAATAGATTTTATATCGCCCGGCTGCGGGCACACCATAGAGTAACTCTATGGGGCACACGGTTCAATAGCACACGTACGCGCATGCACAAGTCAACGTAATCACTCTCGAAAAATATTTTTGTACACTCACAACAGTGAAAAATGCTAATAAGCTGGCGAAAAATACACATACTTCTAGTAGTCCAATTTCAATTTTGAAAAATTATTTGAATTCGTCAGCCTCTTTTCTATGATTTGTAGGAAACCGATTTTGGATATTTTAGATAGTTTACGTATATTACGGTTCCAAATGACTGCTTGATTTCTCAAATTTAACTTGCACTTTTAAGTGCTAACTAGACAAAAAGATGAAAAAGTTTTTCCTACAGATCATAGAAAAGAGGCTAACGAATCCAAATAAGTATTCAAAATTAAAATTTGACTACTAGAAGTATGTGTATTTTTCGCCAGCTTATTGGTCTAAATGCATGAAAAATCCAATCGTTTAGAGCCGCCTTAAAAATACGAATCTTTGGCCTGGACAACGTCGGGCGGGATATATATTTATAAAAAAAAACCCAATGCTTTGGGTACGGGCATCGTCGGGTGGATCTGTTGATACCTATGAAAAACATTCATTTCTAATTTTCTATATATAAGTAATACTGAGAAATTGATTGTACCTAATAATAATTATAAACGGGACGGGCGAGTTCGAACAAAAATCAATATATTAATAAAACGCAAATAAACGCGGGTCTTATTGTTTGAAGGGTGAGGTTTTTAGGGTGGCGAATGTCGATAGAATTTGGCTGTTATATCTCTATATGTATGTAATATGTATAGAAAATAGACATTTGACTCCGGTGATTATTATTATTTACCACAAATGCATGTTTTGGCTGGACATCCTTAGACAAACTTATGATACCCGATTAATTTTTATAATTTATATTTATTTTAATAAAATTAAACTAGGTATATACCTATCATCAGAAACTGCTATAAATTATAAAGTACAAGTAACACACTTTACCACAGCTCGTTCTCCACTCACCCAAATATCATACAACAAATAAACTTACAAATTTACATAGGAACTTTTATAGAATTTCTAAAATAATATCCACTGAAAATAATCTGCACCTACCATTTAATAATAAATAATAATTATTAGTTATAGTCATATAAACAAGGAAATCAAAGAATAATTATGTGATCTTTTATAATTTTTTAGATAAAAGTGAATGTAGTTTTAAAAACTTATGTGTACCTACATTTTAGTCATAATGGTGCTGAAATATTGAATTTATTAAAAAGCATTTTATTTTGCACTAAATAACTTAAAAAATAATTATGCACATACGACATACCTATTATAATATGAAAAATAAAAATGTTATGGATCAAAATTAATATATAAACCTACACAAAATATGTCCTTTAATATTTGTTGCAATATTGTTTTTGCTTTATTACTGGTCAATTATTCACTTGTAGTAAATACCATCAGCGTCAAATGACACTTGTTTACCTTATAGGTATACCTAAATTAAAAACTATTTGAAATTCGTATTCTTCTTTCCTTTCTATCATTTTGAAATATTTCCAAAATAACAAAACTATCATTAGGCTATAATGCTATTTAGTATTATATAATGAACCTATGACTCTTGTCTGTAATGATTACGATTATGTTTACAGTTTACGGGTGTAGAGTGACACAAGTAAGACACTACCATCACCTTGTAATTTGTATAGAAACTCTGTTATGGTTTATATTGTGTAAATAATTTATACTCAAAATGCTATAAATTTAAGTAAGGTTAGATAAAATATAGGTTACTTCCAATATAAGCTATCATTACTATGTGGACAATAATGAAATATAAAAACGATTGGTAATGTAATCATATAATATGTAAGATCTACACCACAGTAACACACTTTTTATTTCTGGCTGATTATATTCAGATAAAGTATAAATCAAATCTATAGAACTCTTAAGGAATTCAAACAGCACTATTTCTACCTAATTGAATACTCCAGGGAACTTTTTTAGTTAGTTTGTTATTACCGATACCTAATTAATTTGATACCTAATGTTTTCCAGTTTTACATCTACATATTATATACTTTAAATAAAATAGCCATTGAGTTTTATATATTCTATTTGAATACCTATACCTGTAAATTTAGTCAATTTTCTGTTATCTCATGTCTTATAAATTAGAGATCTTGAACATTAATAAAATATATTAATTTAATTTCTACATGCAGCTTTTTGAACGAAAAAAGTTTCTGTTTTCTAATAGTTCTATTCAAAGCATAAAACTCAGGTTAAAATCTATCATTTGAATAACTATTACCTATATTGAGTACTGTAGATAATAAATAATTGAACAACCAAAACATGGAAGTAAAATAAATTACTGTCAATGGTTTTGCTTGTGTTCAATTACATAATATAGTACTAACATTATTATATAACATGGTTTGGAAATAGTTATTTTTCTTCCTTAGATTTATTAAAAAGAAAATAGAATAAGAAAATATATTATTTCTAAATAGGTAACTACAAATGTAATATAACTTTCAAAAGATAAATGTAGATGGATATAAATTACAAACAAAAAACACAATCTTTGGTGGGACCAAAGAACAAAACTGTGAACAAATGGTAAATTGATAAATTTGATAGACTTTAATGAATTATCAATTATAATGTAAACACCTAACTCCTAAGTATATAAATAAAAAAAAGATTCGATACAGTAAATATATTATATATTTTGAAAGTGGCACAGGGATCCTACACTATTATCAGATTTTATTTTAAAAAAATTGTAAATTTCGGATTTATGATACCTCTTCATTCAGAGCGATTGTACTATTTTCGTCAGAAATGGGTTCACTTAGGTTCCGAACTAATGTGTACACTCGAGCAGTCAAGTACCCACCATCATTTACGAAATGTACCAATGCTTACCAGCAGCCGGATCTGGTCTACGTGATCGAACTTGCGAACGTCATTGCCATGGCCTGGGCAGGGTCAACGGCGATCGAACGGCGGATAGACCGCAAGTTACGGGGCAAGCGGAGAACTTGGGCGCCTTAGGAATTCAGAAGACATCCAAACGCATTTCGTCAAGATAAGTTGTTGGCTGTCACGTCGTCGCACGCGGCACAATACACAGACCACAAGTCGATTCGGCGATATAATGGTAATAATAAAAATAATAATAATAATAATAATATTGCGGTACGGTAGACAGACGTAAAACAAAAATCGAATAAAACAAAATAATTATATATTTATATATATATATATAAATATATGCGCGTGCGTGTTTTCCGCTGTTATCAGTTGCGCTGCCTGGAGTGCCTGGACCGATTGGTAAGTCGTAGTAGCGAGAGAACAATGCGGTGCGCATGCGTGACGTCCACAACTCAAACGTCCATAAACATTGTCACTGAGATAGTCTGGACTCTGGATAGATAACAGAGTCATTGAGTCATTCCAACAGGCGGTATTGCGATAACGTTTCGCGGTTCCCAAACGAAAAACTTCCTTAATCCTACTGCTTCCACAACTTTCTCGGTTTTTCAAACACGATATAATATTCCAATATTATCGTTTTTGTGATATTGTTGAATATAATTATCATTCATACATTTCATCCAGCACTGCACGTCGATAGCAAACGCGTAAGTACGACGGTCGACAAATGCGTTTTCCAGAGCCTGACGACGACGTACGATGACCGCAGTAGTACCCGCCTCTGAAGATACCACTTCCGCCTCCACCGTCGTCACTGCTGCCTCCAACGGCAAGGGACACATCTTGCACGATGGCCCTGCATATTCGTTGGCGCTCAACAAGGAGCACACTCACGTGGTGGTCGCCGGCAGGAATGGTAAGTCGTTTTTTTCTTTTGATTTGACTTATTTTGGTCAACGGAATTTTTTTCACTTCACTGTGTCCAGTAAAGTCAATATTAACCTTCGTTTTATTTCCAGTTTTCAAAGTTTTTCTCATCGAACAAGGAGGCTTCAAGGAATGTGTCAACTTGCGCTGTGGAAAAACATCAAGTGTACAGAGTTCGTCTAGCATGGATGTAGCTTGGAACCCAGCAGACGGTAAGACGAGCATAAAAAGGCTCAAAAGTTACGAGACCTAAAAAAACAAAATATGTACAAACAAATTGGAAAAGTTGAAAACATAATATATCACTCGTAGCCCGTAGGTATTAGATATTATATTTAAAATTATTGAATATTACTACTTGATTTTTAAAACATTTTGCAATTTTATCATCTAAAAAAACAATTTAGAGAGTAAGTTGTATAATTAATTCTATTTAATTTATAATTTAGTAAAAATTAAGATAATTATATCTCTTATACATATAATTATTAATTATGTGGATTGCTGGTTATTCACATGGCCACATGTTAAAAATCTTAACAAGAAAACCTTTTCCCTCCCATATATTTTGTAATCTTTACTTAAGTATTATTTTTAAAAAAATATTCATAATAGGTACCTATGCTTTTTTTAAAAAAATCATTTTTTTATTTGTGTGTACTTGAAATTAATTTATACCTTGGTCTACTATAAACATTAAACATATAGAAAAAAAATGTAATTTCTACAACTTCTGACTTCTAATTATAATATTCTGCTTTATTTGCAATACACCATCAATGTGAATCAGTAATAATTTTATTGTAATTGTTTTGTATTATTTTTTTTTGTGGTTGTCTGTAGACAATGTTTTGGCAACTGCTACGACGGGTGGTGCGGTAGTTACATGGAACTTGAATAGAACATCCAGGAATAAACAAGACCACATTTTTTACGACCACCGGAGAACTGTAAACAAAGTTACATTTCATTGTGTTGAACCCAATCTGTTGATGTCTGGCTCTCAAGATGGTACAATAAAATGTTTTGATTTGAGACTAAAAGAAGCTCCTAAAACTTATTCCAGGTAATTTTATCATTATGTTATTTTCAGTTGAATCCTTAATGTATTAAATTAATTATTATGTTTTAGCGATTCAGAAAGTATTAGAGATGTTCAGTTTAGTCCTCACAACAGTTATGTATTTGCTGCGGCTTCAGAAAATGGCAGTATTCAAATATGGGATACAAGAAAGGCTGAAAAGTGTCTGAATAAGTTTTCTGCTCATAATGGGCCAGTATTTTCTTGTGATTGGCATTCGGAACTTCAATTTCTAGCTACTGCCAGTCGCGACAAGTCTATTAAAGTAACTTATTTGGCTTTCCACCTTTCCCTGTATTTACTTGTGACAAATAAAATACAATTCTATATTGTTTTAGGTTTGGAATGTTACAAATAAACCTATTGCTGAGTACACGATTAGCACTATTGCCCCAGTCGGACGAGTTAAGTGGCGGCCTTATCGTAGATATCACTTAGCGTCTAGTGCTTTAGTCTTAGATTCAGCCATTAATGTTTGGGATGTGCGCCGGCCTTACATTCCTTATGCATCATTTGCTAAACACACAGATGTAGCAACTTGTATTGCTTGGAAAGGAGATCCTTTCGTACTCTTATCCACAAATCGAGTAATATATTATTTCACACTTTTGAAAACATAATTTACTTAATTTAGTGTAAATTGTAATATTAGGATAGTACTTTGCATCAAAATTTCATAAGTGAAGCAGACTTGCCTTTAGAAAGTGCTAACCAACAAGGTATGGCTATCAATAGAGATGGTGATCTAGTATTTTGTTGTCCGGTTAATTTAAACAAAGTTGAAATCCAAAAGTCTAAAGAAAGTTCCCGGTAATATATTTGTTCAGGGTAAAAAGTAATGGATTTATTTTTATATTGTAAACAATGTTTTTTTATAGAAAGACTTCAACTACAACTAGCGGTGAAGAAGAATTAAACACATCAAGTGAAATGAATGTATTCCGTGATCCAAAAATTGTCATGTGTTTATCTGATGAAACAGAATGTATCCAAACATGTGCTATCCAATATAAACTTATAGGAAGATCAATAGGAGAACTATGTGACCACAATGCTGGTGTCGCCTCCAGTGTTGGAAGAACAACAGTAATTTTTTTTTTAATTCAATTATTATATTAAACAGCTGAAAGGATATTACCTATTTAGGTTTTTTTGTTTTGGAATGTCCTACGAATACTGTATGATCACCGTGTGTCTCTTATTGCTCTAAAAGAAGATATTATGAGTAGCTCAAACATTGAAAGTAGCTTTGATGGGGACAACCCTATTGGTTCCCTCAGCGATGAAGATGGTCTCAGAGGAGATAAACCTTACCAGTTGGGAGATTTCTATTTTGGCAATGCGGAAATTGATCCTTTAGATGCTGAACATGACCAATTTGACTTTATAGGCTTACAGATGGATAGCAAAACTGTAGAAGAGGATAATGATTGGGAAGTACCCGTAGAATCAATAACTTTAAGACATGAAATCATACATGAACCAATTGTTAATGATCCCTACATACCTAACTCAGCGCCTTCAGCAAACAAATTAAGTAAGAATTAAATATCAGTGATTTTAAATTGGAACTGCACATTCATATTTTTCATTTATTATTTAACAGATAACCGCATAACCTCTGCGCCGCTATTACGAATAACATCCCCAGCAAAATTTGACATGTGGAATCCGTCAGAAATTGTTGCCAAAGCTCTTCGCCATCATGTTGATGAAGGTGATGTACAAACAGCGGTCTGCGCGTTAATTGTTTTGAGTGATGAAATTAGAAGTGAACTAACCCATCCCAGACATCCTTGGCGTCTTTTACATGCTGAAATAGAATCTTGGTGGTTAAATTATCTCGAATTACTAAAAAAATTCAAATTATGGTCCTGTGCTACAACGGTATTTTAATAAAAACAACATTTATTATGTTTTGCCTTGAAATAAAAGTTATGAGTATTTTTATAAAAATTAGGTGATCCAACTTTCACGCATTCGTAGTATATTGCAACTGCACCGAACATCTACTTCAGTTAATTTGACTTGTGGATGGTGTTATAAAGGTTTGACACGAAACAGTCGACGCTGTTACAACTGTCAACATTCTGAATGTGCTAAGTGTGCATTATGCCAAAGGATTGTACGTGGAATGTACGCATGGTGTAGAGGATGTGCACACGGTGGTCACATTGCACACATGAAACAATGGTTTATGGAGAATAAGTATTGTCCAACTGGGTGTGGACACATGTGTGAATATTGATCTCGTTACAATGTAAGTGTTTAAGTTTTTTTTGTTGTATTTTTCAATATTTTAAATGCATTTAGCAATGTTTAGAAAAATGTATATTATTATTATACGTTATACATATTTTGCGCGTATAATGTTCTGTAAGATGTAGGTAAAAAAAAACAACTTTGTACTTTAAAATGATATAATAAAATTGTATAAAAATAATACATAAAATAAATATATGTGAATGGATTTTAAATTTTATATTAAGTATTAAGCAATAATATATATGTAATATAATATATATACATACACACACAATGTGTTCAAGAAGTTTGGAATTTCTTTTATAATTAACCCGTAGTAAATATTTCTAGTCATTTGGAACACATTGGATATAATATAATATAATATTTATATATTAAAGATTAGGAAAGAAGAATCTTAATGTCTGAGAAAAAATAGATAATACACATTTTACTATAAAATCATATAAAATTAAAATCCTTGATATATATTTAGGAGAAAGACATTATAATCAAAATCAAAATAATTGATTGCATAGTATTAAAAATTATAATAAATAATATTGAATTAAATTTCCAGAGGTGTTGAGGGTTTAAACTTTTCACACTATATTACATTTCAACTTCTTTCGTCTACCTTTGTCTTTACCCTTGCCATTTGCTCCTTTCACATCTTCCTTTTTACGAGCACGAATTTCGCGCATCAAGTCAAAAAATACCTGCAATAATAATAACATTGTTAATCCAATAATAAAGCATTTAGTTTTGTCTTCATTTGTTATGTTAATCACCTTATCAACATTATCTCTTGTCTTAGCTGATGTTTCAACATATGGCACTCCCCATTCTTGAGCCCTAGACTGAGCTTCATTCAATGACACTTTTCGCTTATCTGTCAAGTCTCCTTTATTACCAACTAATAAAAAGGGGATGTTTTCATCATTCTTCACTCGTAGAATTTGTTCTCTAAAAAATAAATTAATTTTTATCTTACATTGAAATAATCTAGTGCTAGTATTTTACAGTTAATTTAGTGTTATCCTAGACAGGATGTAATTTGCATGATTTTTATTCCTAAATGTAGACACTAATTATTTTGCATATTATAATATGATTAGGTATATAGTTATAATAAAGTATAATAGCTAAATCAGTTAAACTAATCCTATATTATAATATGTAAGTTTAAAACAGGAAAAGTTATTTAATTTTTATAAATTTGCAAGTGTGTTCAAAATTAAAAATTATTTTATGTAATAAGATTTGTGCAATCTTCAAAATAATCAAATTAATTTATATTAAAAACTGGATCATTAAAATGGTAACTGGATAGATATTGTTAGTTAATTTTATTATGCAAGATAGGTTATTTAACAATTTTAATAATGATCATGTACTGTAAAGCTAATCATGACTTTATATTGATATTAGGTATTCAATCTTCTCATGTACAATCTAATAAATTACGTACCTAAATTCCATTGTTGATTGAAAACTGTCATCTTCTGTTATGGAAAATACACACAAAAATCCTTCACCACTGCGAAAATAATTGTCACGAATGGCAGCATAATCTTCCTGGCCGGCTGTGTCCAGTATGTCAATTTGGACTTCTTCACCATCTAGGACTACTTTTTTACGGTACGAATCAGCTTTAGTCGGTTCATAATCTTCTACAAACTATATTTGGGCGTGTCAGCTGAGGTTATCATACTTTTAAATGTTATTTTATATTAATACTTTAATTTGTACTCACCTCGTCGTACATGAACTGAAGGGTAAGGGCAGATTTGCCTACACCACCGCTACCCACCATTATAACTTTGTGCAGAGCTGGCTGCTGTGCATTGTTTTTCTTCATGGCTTGTATGTATTATGATATACTCTGTTGGTGCTGAAAAAAAAACCAGCTTGTATTAGATTTAACTATTGTGAATGAATGCAATGAGATTCTGGCTGTGGGTCAAGTGAAAACTTCTTAGGGTCACAGCTTTCTCACTAATTACTTTCGAAAATAATTATGGGAAAAAAAATATAATATTAAGGTGGTGCTACAGTGGTTTTCACCGAACCGTGTGTAAATGATTACGTGGTGGGAGAGATGTTCGGATTTTAGATGAATAATTAAATATTAATAAACAATGATCACCTTGTTGATGGAAAAATAATTATTGTAATGTATTATACTAACACTAAACGTTAATGATTAATATTTATAGTCTCGCACGGGAATAATGTTAATTGATTTTTGAGAGATAAATATTGTTTACATTTCAAGTGCGTTATCATCGTCGATTGGGGTTGGTTAGTTATCGACGGTGCAAAAAGGCAGTGTGGCCATACTGAGAGAATATTTCCCGACATCCAATAAAGTTCGATTGCTCATGATCGGCTGTGCCTGATTATAATTTATTGTTTTTGCGAAAATAATGTGAACGTTCTAAATATTGTAATTATGTTTATAATTTATGATTACTGAATCATTTCAACTAATCAACGATTTACAATTTATCAAAACTATGGTGTTTTGACCAATGATCCTTTAATACGTGACAATGGTGCTTCCTCCTTTCATACATCACACCAACTATAACTATAGTTGAGATGTTCTTACGTTCCAAAAGTTTCATGTAACAGTTGTAAGTCAACGCTTCTAAATTAAGCATATACTATTGTATGTATTTAGGAAAATTAATTTTTGAGAAAATTGCGAAAACAAAACTATTGAAAAAGGTAATCATTCACCAGTAATTTACAAAATTTCCATTTTTTGATAAATTATGGAGAATAAAAGCTAAAACTAACATACCCTTAAACCTGTTGCCACCCTTACCGTAATATTATTACCTTCAGTCCCACTATAATATAGTACAATATGTCAATAACGACGTCACACTCTTGTCAATCGTCAGAAAATTAATATTTTTTATATCATAATATACGAATTAAAAATTATAATTTTATGATCTGAATAATGAAACTCAGTTTATTATGAAATTAAAGCTATACGGCTCGCATATACGATATACCTAGGTAAAATACTAAGTTTTAACAAATAATAATAATTATAATAAATATATGAAATTATTTTATTTTTCTTCATAATCACAAAAAGATCAAACTGGTAAACATGTTTAATTACAATATAATATATGAGCTTTCTTACTGATCATCCTTTATATTATTCACAAGTGTAATAATACGAATACAAACACCCTGCTGTTTGTGTACCTATAGGTATTATGTATACGTACCCACTCAAGTCGATAAAAACGGAAATCTGACCATAGAGTACATATTATAATATTTAAAAATAATAATAATATACATTGTCGTAAATCGTAATTATAAACCGCGCACCGAACTACTCACTCTCAGTATGCTGGCTTAATCGAAGAGATAAACTCTGCCTCTCTGGCCGCGGTCGTATAATATTATATGGATCGGGTTCGTGTATGGTCTGATTCAGTATAATTTATTATAATTAGTGCTCGAATTGGGAAAAATTAAGTAGGGGAGCTCAATCCAACGATTTAAAAACTGCGTTCCAAACGCGTAATTACTCAACGCAGACGACAGACCCCCCCCCTACCGTAAGGTAAGTATCCTGCATTTCTGCCTTACATACATTTTGAATACCACTTTTCGGCAACACATTTTGAATTCCAAATAGGTATAATATATTTTGATAGCAATATCTACATCTTACTTTGTTACAGTAGAAAAAAAAAAATAATAATCTACCTGTTTATTCAATATACTAAATAGATGACAAAATTAATAATTATTGTTTTCGATTCAAAAGGACCACATATTTTGATAAGTATAAAAAAAAATTTAGAACACCGATAAATGATAACCATAACTGAAATTGATAACATTTCATTCATTTGGAACACAGTTTAAGATAGTAGATACTAGCCCACACGGCCACACCAATATCTGTGCTTTAGATATAATATACTTGTATATGATCTATGATCTGTGAACTACTGACTATATAGGCAAAACACAGGGTGATATTATAATCAATTATTAATCTAATATCAAAAATAGTAAAACTTGTAAAATTGACATCAATTGAAATCCAAATTATAATAAAAATTATTTCGGATTTTAGTTTGCACCGTCCCCGTCCTAGTAAAAAAAAATAGAAGGGGTACGCAAAAAAACAATAAAAATAGTAGGGGAGCTCCGTCCCCCTGCGCACCTCCCAATTCAAGCACTGATTATAACACGTTTATGTTGGTTAAAACACATTGTTTCGTCAATATTGAAATGCGCGATGCAGTAATTTTAATTATCGAATTCCTCGACTCCCACAGTCCCACGAGTCGTTGAACATGATGATTGACGGTTGTCTTTCATCATTTTTCTTTTTGCCATTTTAATGGGAATTGGGAATAAAATTATCAACTTTTGTGATTTATTATTATTACAATAATTTAACGATTAGTTAGTTCATTTCTAATCACCATGGTGGCATGGTTGTAATTTTTAGAATCGACGACGTTGTGTAATGTAAAAATAACGGTTTATTATTATTTTTTCTTTATAATAATATATTCTTATTGAAAATTGGTCAATTGTCGAACCACACCAAATATGTATTTGAAAAGTAAAAAATCGTAAAATACAAAATACTGACTCATCATATGAAACTTAAAATACATTTTATAACGTATAACTCGCGGTATAAGTTTATATTATGTTTATCTTTATGACTTTATTGATTGTTATATAGGTACTTATTAGTTATTATATTAGATAGTAGATTGGTAAAAACTTTTAAGCAAATAGTGCCAAATATTCTCAAAATATGATATACCTTCCTGCATGCATCCAGTACCTATTGGCTATTATTTTATTAATTTTTATGCTTTTAACATACGGTCACGCACTGTAAAGTATATTGGTATACTTATTTTATTTTGCATATGACATATCGGCTTAGTTAAAAAATGTAAAATGTTAGTTAAATACAATAAGTTAGACAGTGATACGTTAGACTATGATAAATAACATAACTTTTAAGATGTGACAAACCTATTCGAAATTTATCCCAAATTTAAAGGTAACTGGGCCAGGACAGTATTGGTATACTTTACCGATTTACTATCCATTGTAATGAATTGTAACGCCTAAATACAATATTAGCACTACAATTATATTACAATTTGCACTTAAAAAATTGAACGGGTCGCCGATTTATAGCGTCCTGTAATAGACGATAGCGACTCACCAACCTACCATATAATATATACACTGCATCATATACTTGAATGGATTCCTGATACGCCCATATATAATATATATAATTAGTAATTTCAATTTTCGTAACGCTTTGTCTATAGCCATAGTCACTCAAATCAACAATAAAAACAACAAATTAAATTTCTTACAAAATTTTGCTACTAGATATTTTCCAATGCACTGTATTCAAAATCATATCTACGATTCTTCAATTTTTCTTGCAGAGGAAAAATATCTAGTAGCATATGCTATGTATAATCTGTGGCGCCGATCGCCTAATTTATCTATAATATATTCCCCTGCGGATCCAGAATATACTTTAAAAAGTAAAAATAAATGATTAAACATTATGTAGGTGCTTTGGTTACATCTGATTGTTAAATTGAAAAAAAAAAGGGTGGATGATAGGGGCCCACCCAGCCTCTACCGGTTGTACGATGTCATAGTTTATTTTGAACCCGTCTTGGCTTCACTGCTTATAATATATTATATGAATGACATTTCTTTTTAATATTGGATAGTTGTATGAATCAATACTATAGTATTCTGTATTACTATAGAACACATAGGTATCACATACTTTGGTCTTTGATATATTTTAATACCGGTTAGTTTGAATTTAAACTTTAAGTAGAATCATTATACAATTATTTATTTTTTCTATTCAACTGTAGTTTTTTTTTTTTTATTATATTGAAATAAATCTACAATCTATACATTTTTGTATCTATATTTTAGTAAGAAGCATGACATATTTATTCATTGACCTAATACATTATAATATATAACTAATACATATGAATTATTTATATTAGGTCAATGAAGGTATTAAACTACCGATTAGAACATTGTTATAAATTAATCCCAGTGTGTACGCCGTACGGTACACGTTGTCGTCACATATTTTATTATGTATGTTGATTTGTTTATTTAATATTATTACATAATAATATAATTAATGTTATCAAAGAAGATAATAATATGTACTCTTATAACTTATAAGTTATAAATTATAATATAATGGTTTTATTTTTGTAATGAATGAGTCATTGCTAGTATAGTACTTCATACTATTATTAAAAGGATGTCCGGCTGTAGTATAAATGTATAATAATACTATAATATGACTTATTATGACTCATTTCGTACAGTCATGCGTTTTATTATTTATGTATCTATACTTGTAAGAATATCATTATTTTTATAAATCTGTGTGTATATATTGTACTAATGTATTCTATATTTACCGATGTATTAGTATTATGAATAGGGTTATGATATTAATAATTATTCAAAAGTAAGCCAAACGGCAAACCGTTACATGCAATATATTATGTATACAGCGCGGACTTGACTCTCTAATAATGCATTATTATGTAGATAATTTTGCTGAAAATGTTGATTTATCAGAATTAAAATTCGTACCATTAGGTTTTGTGACCGATTTTCTTAACGCTTTGTTTATTGCGCTAAAACTAACTACTTAAATAAAAAATACATTTTAAAGATATTTTCCATTGCAGCTCTATATCCAAAAACATATCTATAATTCTTCAATTTTCAGAATTAATTTCAGAAGAAAAATATCTAGTAGCATACTACTTATTA